TAACCCTAACCCTAACCCTAACCCTAACCCTAACCCTAACCCTAACCCTAACCCTAACCCTAACCCTAACCCTAACCCTAACCCTAACCCTAAGATTCTCCATCCAAGAATCGCCGAAACAGCCTCTTACACCGATTTTGGGTTTCTCAGGCGCACGACCCCTGACACAACTCTAATTAGTGCAGATTCTTGGCCGTTTTCTGGATCAAAAAATAACCTATTGTAACAACTTGAGCAAGTCCGTTGCAGATGGCAATTCAGAGACGTAAGATGAGCACCGGTGACGACGTGTGTCAGTAAAGGAGCTCCCAAAAACAGCTTGCAGGCAGCGAAACCAAGTGGCCCTCGTTCGTCGCTCAGACACTGAGCTTTCAGCAAAGATTGATCCTATACGTTGTCGTCACCGCTGTTCGGCTTAAGACGATGTCGCCTGTTTCTGTTTGCATCATGGCTAAAGGGTGCCCCGTTCGTCGCCGTCGCCCAACCGACTGGTACCGATCGTGAGATCGAAAGCGAGGCGAGCATGAATCACATACCTTACCTAGCCTTCCGAGAAGAGAGCCATGACGGCGTACGGATATCTCATCCCTCACGATCCATCCTCAGCATTATAAATATCTGATCAGATCCTCGAAGACCGCTCGTTTGTCTCTCTCGCATCTCTTTCCGAAAGCACGGTTCGCTATACTGAGTCACAGATTCTGTGGTGAGCTGGCGAACCGAGTCACGAGGTGTGCGCATCAGTATCGTCTGCATTCCTATTGCGGTGCTGTGACAGCAGGACCGAGGCCACTGCAGCTCTTGATGAGCAAAATAGGCGCAGCGTTGTTGCGCTCGCACCGTCCCGGAAGTGCAACGGAAGTCTCTTCGTTCCGGCAGGGCGATGAAATTCCGGCCGGGTTACGGAAGTTTGCCAATTCCGTAAAGGACGGTGGAAGTGCGTTCATTGCGTAAAGACCATGGCTAAGGGCTCCGTCCCGGAAGGACGACGAAGACCTGGAGCGACGCTGCGATTCCGGAGCGGGTTACACCGTTCCGGAAGTGCAACGGAAGCCTCTTCGTACCGGCAGGGCGATGAAATTCCGGCCGGGTTACGGAAGTTTGCCAATTCCGTAAAGGACGGTGGAAGTGCGTTCATTGCGTAAAGACCATGGCTAAGGGCTCCGTCCCGGAAGGACGACGAAGACCTGGAGCGACGCTGCGATTCCGGAGCGGGTTACACCGTTCCGGAAGTGCAACGGAAGCCTCTTCGTACCGGCAGGGGACTGGAATTCCGGCAGGGTTACGGAAGTTTGCCAATTCCGTAAAGGACAGTGGAAGCGCGTTCGTTGCGTGGCTACGGGCTCTGTTCGGGAAGGACGACGAAGTCCCCGAGCGACGGTGCAATTCCGGAGCGGGTTACAATGGTAGTGTCTGCTGCGGTGAGGAGCGCAGAGGACACGGCCAGATGGTGTAGGCCGGATGATGGCGAAAGCGAAGATGCGCTAATGTGGTGGAAATTGCACGAGCGCGCCAAATTCCGTCCCAATAATTCAACGCAGACCGGAATTCTAGTGCTATGCGGTTGTTCATAGCCGTTCGGAGTCTGACGTGGTGGGATAGTGCCGGAAATCGTGTCGAAAGCGGCGGAAAGTCCTTGCATTCATCTGTGTCTGGTTCCGTTTTATATTTTTCAATGAGCCAGCGGTGCTCGACCACTGACACGGCGCACGCTCCGGAGCTGACTCGAGTGTGACCCTGTCAAAACTCGGAGCGGAGCTGTCTGAGGCACGTGTGTTTGCTGTGCAATCCGAAGAGCATCATCGCCAACCTCGTACGGGTCCCTGGTCGGCTGTAGGTCCGCCTCGGCTGCAACGCTCTTTGCTCCTGTCTCCTTTCTTCCTTTCTAATGATTTCCTTTCCTTCTTCCTTTCTTTTTTAGGTCTTGGCAGCGTCCGTGGCTAATGGCGGCTGAGCAAGCCGTGCGACAAGCTGTGGTTGCCTGCGCTCGCTCGGTGACTTGCGGCTGCGTCTCGTCGAAACTGATCCGATTCGCAATGACTCGCAACTTGCGTCTTTTGGCGTCGAGTCATTTGGCATCGAGTCAGACGGACGTCAGACGGACGTCGTGTGCAGATTGATTCTCCAAGACTCGGAAATTTCTTTGATGCTCGGACGGGTGTAAGAACGTCGAGCAGTTTTGAAGAGAGAGAGGGGGGGGGGGGGGGTTGGTTTGGCTGCGGACGTCGAAGCCTTCGACAGTGTGGGCAAGGCTGACGGCGCGCAGGCGTTGCAATGCACACGGTCAGTGCGCAGATGACCTTGCTTCCAATGAACAGCGGCGAATGTTGGTTTTGAAACCATGGTCCTCAACGCTCGCAATGCTATGACGGCGTAGCATGATCACGTCGGGACCCGGTCAGGTCCGTCGGTGACTTTGGGTTTCTTGTTGCCTGTTTGAATTTCAAATTCGGCTTGTGGTCGCCGAAGCGGATGCGTCGATGGCGTCAATCCACACACCTGTCTCATCTGATGCTGTTCCGGGTTGGGCTTACGGCTGAGCATGGTCCGCCGAGCCAAAGCGACTCCGTCGTACTTCGGAGAACTCCACCCAGTGACGTCGGGAAAAAGGCAAGAATCACCGAACAGTTCGGCAATTGGTGCACCAAATTAGAGCTCTCGCTCATCCTGAAAAGCCATCTTGAGTCGGCTGTCCACTGTTGCGCTCAACACTCCCGACCACCATGTCTGCACGGCTATGGCTGCCGCGTTCGTTGCTCTATTCACTTTCTCGGACTGACCTTCCACGAGCCGCAGTCTTGGCCCCTCGCTCGCTGCGTCAATCTCGAACCAGTTCCACCATGGTATCGACCTCCGAACTCAGCTCGGCATCGGCATCGGCGTACACACCCTTTCTCGATTCCGCCTTCTATACCGGCGACGTATCCGACGACTGGACGTACAAGATCGCTAGCCAAGACCAGCTTGACCAGCTCTCGGAGGCCAGACAGATGCACCAAGCGTTGCCGCGACCGCTGCGAGTGCTCGTGCTGTACGGCTCCAATCGTCAGCGCTCGTTTTCCAAACTCATGTCGTTCGAGGCTGCCAGGATCCTCCATCACCTTGGCTGCGAAGTACGAGTTTTCGATCCTCACGGACTGCCGCTAAAGGATGACGACGACACCGTGCGCCCGTTCCTGTCCCCTACGTCGGATGGCCAAACGGTCGGGACGGATGCCCATCCCAAGGTGCAAGAATTGCGCCAGCTCGTCACATGGAGCGAGGCGCACTTTTGGTGCTCGCCCGAGCAGCATGGAAACCTTACCGGCATCATGAAGACCATGATCGACCACATCCCCCTCAGTCTCGGCAGCGTGCGTCCCACGCAGGGCAAGGTTCTGGCCGTCTCCCAGGTCAACGGCGGCTCGCAATCCTTCAACGCCGTCAATTCGCTACGCATCTTGGGTCGTTGGATGCGCATGTTCACCATCCCCAACCAGGCGTCTCTGCCCAAAGCATGGACCCAGTTCACTCCAGAAGGCCGAATGATGGATTCTTCCAATCGCGAACGCCTCGTCGATGTCGTCGAAGAGCTCGTCAAGGTCTCGTGCCTCTTCTACGGTCGCGACGACACCTTTGCGACTCGATGGAGCGAAAGAAAGGAAAAAGCACAGGTCGGTCGACTCCTCAGCCAAGCCGAGAAAGAACAAGCAAAAGGTTCCAATTGATCAACAGCACGTATCGCCAAAACGCGTCAGTACCAACATAGACCAGCCTCCGAGGCATTCGATAGCAGCAAGCACATCGTGATTGCCACCGTCGGCCTTGTCCGCTGAAAGACTAGGCAAAATGCATCTTGGGCGTTCGTGTCGCCGCTTGTGAGCGCAATGCTTGCAATTGAAGACGCACTGCGACACCAAGACAGAAGCTTTCACCGACGCGTACGGTGCCATCGCATGGCTGCTCTTCAGCGCCGCCTCGCCTGTAGTCGGCACCAAGTAGATCGACGTCGATCGATGCACGGCCAATTTGGCTCTTCCCTACCACGCCATGGGACTAGAGCTAGGGCGAAAGTGAAGCTCGCGTCTTCGAAACCGTCTCGCGAAGCGTCCCAGCATTGCCATTGTCTATGTCCTAACAAGCGTCGAGTCCAGTGCTCAACATGTCAAGCGAGTGAAACAAACAAGATGCACAGCGAAGCATGAGCGGGGGCCTATGGACTTGGCCCACGACCCTCGCTGATCAACATCACTGCCATTATCAAAGCTGTCGTGCCGTTGCGGGACTGACTCGCTTCCGCTGGCACCGACCACCAAATCCGCACCCACAAGTGTATCGCACTCGTGACATTTTCCGATCAGGAGCGTGTGGGTACAGAGCGGCCCAACTTGGCAAAGGTGTCTTGGACTTCCTGAGGATCCCGGAGCGAGGGGTCTTGTCCCATGAGGCGGCGGCTGAGGAAGCGGACCAAGCTGCGCGGAGCCAGTCGCAGACTGGCCACGGAAAGATTGTTGAAGTAGCCAGGTACGATCACTGACTTGTCGCGTGCGTCGAGAGCCGCTAAGGTGGTGGCGCAGACATGCTCCTTTGTACCCATTGGCACGATTACAGATTTCTCGTGGGCGCCGCCTTTGGTCCAGATCTCGGTCTTGGTTGCGCCGGGGCAGCTGACGACGATACGTAGATCGCTTGCCTCGTTGCGCTGCTCGGCATAGACACTTTCGGTGAGCGAGAGGACAAAGGCCTTGGAAGCGGCATAGAGAGCCATCGAGGGGATGGGCATGAAGCCGGACATGGACGAAATGTTGATGATGCCTGCCAGCGCATGGTTGGACTGCTTCTGCTGCTCGCCGAGCTTCTTGTGCTGCAGCTTGATCCGCTGCAAAAAGATGTGGAAGAGCTCGGTGAGCGCTACGATGTTGATCGCGACGAGGGACTGCACGTCCTTGTACTCCATGTCTTCAAAGGGACCGCCAAAGGCAACGCCGGCGTTGTTGATCAACAGAGCAACGTCCAGTTCGCGCGTCTTTTGGTCAAGCTCTTCAGCCGCTCCAGCAACAGAGAGGTCGATCGGAATCACTTTGCACTGCACCTGCTCGGACACTGTCTTGGCCACCGACTCCAGCTTGTTCACGCTACGCGCGGCCAGGATGACATTGTGCGTCTTGCGCTGTGCGAGTTGCAATGCAAATTCCTTGCCGAGCCCTTCGGATGCGCCGGTGATGATTGCCCAGGGGCGGTGAGAGTCGGATGTAGTAGTCATCGTGCAGATCAGTGATGTTTAGGAGGAGCGATGGTGTCGAGAGGAGCGTTACGTAGAGCGAAACCATCCCTTGCTCTTATGGATTCATGCTGGACTCCCCCGCACGGTAACTTATTTGCGAATCTCCGCGTGAGGTTACCACCTCCACCCCGGGATGTTCTTGAAAAGGCGAGCGGTCGCCGCCAGCCAGTCCCTTGTGTGGGCTAGTGCTCGACTGCTCGTTTGGCGGGGCTTCGGTCTGCCGTTCAAGCTTCGCAAGCACGGGTCGACCCAGTGAGCTGCTTTCGGCAAGCCGACTGTCGATGGTGGAGCGCGCGCATCGTTTCTCCGGCGGAACGATCCTCCTCCACACCGCCAGTGGATAGCCGCAACGATGGAAACTTCGAAACGACTTGCCGACGCTGAGCTGCATGTGTGGAGCGGGCCTGCCTCGTGCTTCAGATCCATCCGTTCCGCTCACTTCCACCATCAATGAAGATGACAGATCCGTCGACGCTGTTTCAGCCCTCGGACGCCAGCAGCAGCGTGCGCAAGCTGACGCACAACCCGGCGTCGTCGTGGCGCAGCTATGTATTCATGCACGTGCTGCTGCGAGCGGCAATCTGGCTTCGCCAACGACGAGCGCGCCAAGCTGGTGACGGCAACCTCCATCCGCCCGGCCCACAAGACTTTTCCGAGCTTCTGAAAGAGTACGAGACGGGCAAGAACAAGTATGCTCGACAGCACGGTGTGCGGCTGGACTGGTACCTGCCTGCGTCCGAGTCGGAGCTATTTGGCTCGATGTCTGGCTTCGACTGGAGTGCGATCCGGGTGCTTCGATTCCAGCCCAAAGCGGGCGCGACGAATGCGCAGCGCACGATCATCTACTTGAACGGCGGCGGGTTTGTACAGCCAGCGACGACGGCGCATAGCTACATGTGCAGCTTGCTGGCGCATCGTCTGAATGCCGTTGTCTACATGTTCCCCTACGAACTTGCGCCAGCCGGGATTGCTGCCAGCGAGCTGCCGCGACTGACGGCATTCTACCTTGCCATCTCGGCGCACGCTCGAAGCTTGGGTCACGAGATCATCGTTGCAGGCGACAGTGCGGGTGGTTCGATCGCATCCAGCATGCCACTGTGCATCCAGCGATTTGCACCTCTGCTTCTTGCCAAGCCAGCGCTATCGACGGAAGAGATCGGCAAATTGCAGCCAGATCAGTTGATCCTCCTTGCACCCGTGACCACATGCAATGTCACAGGAGACATTGTGGAGCATATGGATCGCATGCAGGCGCAAGACTGGTGGCTGGATCGAAAGCGGGTGCAGGAGCTCTGCAAGCTGTGGGTGGGATCGCAATCGGTGCAGGACACGGCTGTGGAGCAAGTGGCATCTGCCTCCGAAGTGGATGCTGCGGCTGAAAAATGGCGTCAAGTTCTGCCGTTGCAAGCCGATGATGCCATGCTGGACACGATCGCATCCTCGTCCCTGTTCGAGCTGCTGCAAGAGGCCAAGGTTCACGTCACTCTGTCGTGCGGCACATCAGATATTCTGTACGCCTGCGCCTACTACTTTGCCAAGCGATGCGAACAACACCAGGTCGACTGCACTTTCATCGAAGGCACGGGCGGCGTTCATGTGTATCCGATCTTGGGCTTCTTTATCGGCGATCCAGGGTGCATCAAGGGGTCGGATCTGGTGGTTCAGAGCGTGCTCAAGGCGAGTCGGTTCGAGTAATGTCATTTGGAAGGCCGTGATTGCCTGGCTGTGGGATGAGCTCTCGGCCAAGTCCGTGATTGACGGCAGAGCACGGCCGAGAACCCGACCGATGTATGGCCGTGCAATGCAGACGCCGCGTCGATGATTCGCTCGGTGTGCAAGACGGGCGTTGTTGTTTCGGAGAGCAAACGCTGCCAAGACCCGCGGATCTGCAAGAGCATAGAGTATCGACTGCAGGACCGATATGATGAACAGCAGGGTCCAATAGAATCTCTTTTTTTTTGCCGACCGAATGGGCTCTTTTTTGCCGAATTCGGATCGAAGATTCGGCGCACAGACGCTCAAATCTCGGGGCAAAATTATAAGATAAGGAGGGGGCGCCTCGATTGTTCTCTTCCTCAATCCATCTCAAGACGACGTCGAGTTGCAATAGCTGGAGACTGTACGATGGCAAGCTGGCTGAAGCTCGGTGGTAAGCGGCCTACGCTGCTGTTGCGATGCTGCGTGCTGATCGCAGCCGAGCTGGCGGTGAATGCGTTGCTGTGGATCGTAGCGGCGATCGTCTTTCGCCAACGCCCTCGCTTTCTGACGCTGTGCCTGTTGGCGTGGACACTGGGTTTGCGACATGGACTCGATGCGGACCACATCTCGGTGATCGACAATGCGACGCGACGGATCGTCTCGCTTAGCCATGCCGACTCTCTGCGGCCTCGACGTCCGGTGACGTGTGGACTTTGGTTCTCGCTGGGCCACTCGACGATTGTAGTGGCGGTGATCTGCGCAATTGCGATCAGCTTGGGCATTGTCGATCGGCTTGGAAAGGTCAGTTCGGTGGGCGGCGTGATTGGCGCAGCTGTGTCTGGCTCGACGTTGTTTCTGTTTGCGGTGGTTAACTCGGTGCTGCTGTACCAAAGCATTGCCGCATCGCGCAGGCAACGCAGCGCATCCTCTCGCAACACACAGCAAGCATCGACACCCAACGCAAGCCCCACCGACGAAGAAAAGCTGCCGACCAAGGCAATGGATGCGGACGAGGAGCCAAGGGACGACGGCAAGGCGGCCGACCACCGATTCCGAGGCATCTTTACGCGCATCGCCTATCCTCTGTTCCGACTGGTGGATCGACCGTACAAGCTGTATCCGGTGGGCGTGCTGTTTGGACTGGGCTTCGACACGGCGTCCTCGATCGCGCTCTTGGGCATTGCCGGCGCGACGAATACGCAGGTGCAGGATACCGATCTGGGTTCGGGGGACAACATTCTCCCTGCAAGTGCGACGCGACGATCGGATGCTTCGATTGTGCTTCTTGCGCTGCTGTTTACGGCAGGTATGACGCTGGTGGACAGTCTGGATTCGGTGCTGATGATCAACGCATATGCACCGGGCGAGCTGCTCGCACCTCGATCCGAGCATGATTCGGGTGGATGGAGATGGTGGAAGAGAGCTCGCTTCCTCGAAGATGCGTCTCAGGTCACTGGAGACAAGAGCAACGTCACGACGAGCAAGGTGGATGCCGAGGATGACTTGGATGCGACTTCGGAACGCGGCACCGGATCGATGCTGTCGCAGCTGTTGACGCTGCTGTCGATTTTGCTGGCGTTTGCGATTTCGATCATCACGCTCATGGGACTGATCGGGGAGAACTGCGATCGTTGCGCGAGGGCGGCGGCGAAGCAGGACGACACGCACGACGGCGGTTTGGAAGGACGATGGTGGCTCTTTTGGCAGCAGGCCAACGATGCGTCGGGCATCATTGGCGCGTGCATCGTGGGTGGCTTTGCGGCGATTCTCATCGTGTGGTACGCTGGCAGGGCCATCTTACGTCGCCACGCACGCCGCCACGCCCAAGCGCCGCCGCAATGAGTGCATTTCAATCCTACGATTCGCATCACATCCTTGACGTGTGCAGAGCCGGATCTCGGAGTCGTGCGCATGTTGGCCAGGATCCGAGATCCGAGGGCCGACTCTGAAGGAAGAGCGGATCTCGGCCTGCCAAGGTGTGCCAAGCCGGAGAGAGTGCGCTGAGCGAAGTTATCACTCGGAGCTTCCGAATTCACCACACGGGCTTGCAGACCAAAGAAAACCTCCGAAGCCAAAATGCTCCGGAGACAGGAGGAGAGCGCGCTGATGTTGCAATTGTTGGGGCCCGAATGCCGAAGCGGCTGTATGCAAGCATCTGCAGGGATCCGTTGCGATCCGCTCGCGTGGAATGTGTTATATGCTGATCAGCCGCAGAGTCTGTCTAGGAGCAACGGCAGTGCCAGCCAAGGCACCACCGGCAGACGGCTTTAGGATGGACATAAGCCAGGCTCGGACGGCTATTCCTCAGCGTTGGTTTCCGCGGAGGCTTGGAAGAAGAAAAAAAGTGTCAGCTGCGCTGATCATTTTGCAGTCGGGGCTCAACTCGCTCAGCTCGGCCGTGCCAAAATTCCAAGTTTTTTGGGTACAAGAGGAAAGATTTTCCCAAGTCGGTCCGGAAATGGTTGCCGGGGCCGGAAGAGCAAGAGCAAGAGGATACGAGAGTGCGATTGTGCCGCACAGAACCACGCGATTAAGTTGGGGCGCTGATTGAGTGGAGGCGCAAAGCAGGTCGGCATTTTTTGGTCCTTCCGTTCTGATTTGCGTTGTTACCACCACCACCACCCGCCGCCGATCTGCTTGGCTCGGCATTGACGCTGGACCCTGACACACTTTGCAATATATAGACGGGACCCGTTCTAGCTTGGCCTCGACTCGCCATCTTCACGACAAACAAAATGACGGCAGCACCCGCCGCCAAGCCTGCGGGCAGCGCGCTCAAAGTATCCACGCTCGCCCCCCTCGGTGCACTCACCGTCATGGTCTCGCCATGGGGATTCTCGACGCTCAAGGCGCTTCTGCTCGAGCCCATCCGCATCAACCCGCCTGTCTGGCTTCGTATCCTCCTCGGCCTCGTCGTGCTCGCCAACGTGCGTTCCACGCCGTTCGCCTGGCACATCCGCGTCCTCTATCCGGCATTCAAGGCCGTCTTCCGTGCACGCCCCTGGCTCTCGACGCCCGAGCCACACGCACTCACCCACGCCGCCATCAAGCCCCAGCTCAAGACCAGCAAACTCCCCCTCGGAAAGGACGTCTTCCTCGACACCTCCTCACACAACTTTGTCGCCACGCTCGACGAGTGCGACTGGAACGGTCACCTCTCCAACTCGTCCTACTCGCGCTCCCTCGACTACACCCGCATGGCCCACAATTCGCCCAGATTCCTCAAGCTCTACTATGACGGCGGCTGGGTCGCACTCGGTGGCTCGGCATTCAACTTCCACCGCGAGATCCCCTTGCTCGCTCGCTACACCATCCGCATGAGCCTCGAAGCCTGGGACGACAAGTGGCTCTACGTCGTCGGCAGATTCGTCGCCCCCGCCAAAGGTTCTGCAAAAAACGCCACAGCTTCGGCTCCCACCAACGCCGTCACCGAGATGCTGCAGCCGGGAGAACAGCTCTACTGCACCTCGATCTCGCGCTATGTCTGCAAGTCTGGCCGACGAACCATCCCGCCCTGGCTCGCCATCGCCACCTCCGGATACGGAACCCACGAGGCCACGCGCTCCAACTGGGAAAAAGCAGAGAAGCTCCGTGCCTACTACCTCGAAAAGGAAAAGAAGGCCTACCTCGCAAAGTCGGGCAAGAAATCCATCTCGGCCAAGGTCGAGGCAAAGCTCATCAAGAAGGCGGCGCTTCTGCGTCAGTACCGACTCGAGAGCGAGAGGCAAGGCACCGACGAAGAGGCCTGGATGAACAAGAGCTACTGGCAGTCCGACGAGTGGGAGACCCGTCGCAAGCAGGGCCTCGAGCGTCTCGGCGTCAGCGTCGGCATCCTTCCCCCACTGGAAAAGTAACCTCGCTCCCTTCAGCTTCACTCCTAGCATAATAGACACTAGACAACATCTGTATCGATAATTCTTGCATCTGTACATCAAATCAATGCGCCCTTGGCTGCAGGACTACGCCCAGGCGGCGCTGATCTCGTCGTACTGCGACTGGGTGAGTGGCTTGATGCTGCCGTGCTTGAGCTGCGTAGGCATGCCCGACGGGAAGCCGAGATCAGTGTAGCCGTACTGATCAATACCGTTGTCGGCGCTGTAGGGATAATAGCCTGCGGGAGAGCGGCCGTACTGGTCCAAAAACACAAACCACCTGTTGCTGGTATTCTCCTGGAAGTAGATCGGGGCTTCGGCCTGGTTGTTGTTGTCGACGTATTCGGTGGCGGAGCCAATGTCGACCCAAGGTCCCTGAATGCCCGAATTGCTCACCTGGCCGCGCACCTTGTATACGCTTTCGTCCTTGAAGAAGCGCACGTACTGGTTGGTGCCCGACGTGGGCCCTCGACCGATGGTGAGGTCAATCACGCCCACATTGTTGCCCAGGTCCATAAACACCTCGGGATCGGTAAAGGTGATGAAGTCGGTGGTGTAGGACGAGTAGATCTTGTCGTAGTCGGGCGTACCCGTGTGCGAAGCATCCGCATACTTGTTCGACGACCAGTACACCAGGAAACGCTGTTCGTCATCCAGCCAGATCGCTTCGGGTGCCCAAGCCATACGGAAAGTGTCGGGCACCACCTCAACCAGCCTCGAAGGCTTCCACTTTGTCAAACTCGCGCCCTCGGATTCCCAAACCACAAGGCTGCGGCTGAGGAAGGGGCTGCTGAACCCGCCGACGGCAGTCTGGTTGAGGTCGGTAGCAATGATGTAGTGCTGCGACTCGTCACCTTTGCTCACCAGATACATGTCGCGCACGCCCTTGGTGCCCACCGTCGAGGTGAGCAGAGGCGCTCCACCGTTGAGCGGCTTGTACGACAGCGCATCGTTGCCGTTGGACAAATGTCCGAATACCTGCTCGCCTGCAGGGTAGGTGGTGTAGACCCCCGGCTCCTTGTAGTCGTCGTAAAAGTGGATGAACAGATATCCGACCTTGTCCGAGGCGCGCTTCATCAGCGAGGGCACGCTAGACACGGGCCGCGAGGCGGCAAAGGCGGCCAGGCACAGCTGGACCAGCAGTAGCAGCTTCACTTGCACGCTCAGCATCTTGAAGGCGGGGGTATGGCAGCTTGGAGACTGGGGTGGGGACGGTGTTGTGAGCACGGCCAAAGCTCGACCGCCATTCCGACGTCCCTTTTATGGGTTCGACCACGCTCGAGATGGGCTTCATTTGCGACGCATCTCATAGACCGCAGAAGGATGGCCAGTCTCGGAGATCTCTTCCCGGATCCCACTTGCGGATTCGAGTGGGACACCCACGGTGCCCACAGACGCCGTCCGACTCCTGGTGGTCCTGCCATGTGGGTAGCATGTTCATTTGCGGACGTCGTCGGCCATCTCAATGAGCACGCCCAGCGTTGTTTGGCAGCAGCGGAGCTCGGAAATCTCGATAACCCCGCTCACGCCAACAAGCGGCCTTGGTCAAGAAGGCATTCTGGGGTGCGTCGGCGATTGTGGGGTAAGTGGGGCCACTAGCGAGCTCGGCTGGAAATCTTTTGCCAATGGTCGAGGGGCGCTAAAAGGCGAGCCGACATCATCGCGCCTCGAGGGCAAATGGGCTCGGCAGCGCACTTGGCATCGACACAGGCGGTCTAGGAGATGTCCGACATTGCCGAGCCCCTTGAAGCTGCTGACCGTAGAAGAGGTGTGAGAGAGAGAGAGGGAGAGCACAAGTGGGTAGATTCCCGATGTGACAGGTGCAATCGCCGATAGTGCCTCGCCAGCCGGGCCGATGGACGGCGATTTGGTCGGCACGGAAGAACCGTCATCCCTGTGCGACCCTTCGAAGCGGAAAAGAAGGAAGGGGGTTTAGCCGTCGGAAGAATCGCCTCAACAAGGCGGGGAAGCGCTTCACTTTTAGCCTGGCTCGTTCGCACGTCAGGAGAGTTACCCCTGCAGGGTCCTCGACTTGAAGTGTGCTGCAACGCATGACAGGCTCCGGTGACTATTTGAGGACGAGCTCGTGATCGCTCATCAACCGCTCCCTCTTACCCACCAAGCTCAAGGAAACGAACCATGTCGCAGATCAAGTATCAGAGAGGCTTTGGCAACCACTTCACCTCCGAGGCAAAGCCAGACACGCTGCCCAAGTTTGGCCACTCGCCCCAAAAGGTCAACCACGGCCTCTACGCCGAGCAGCTCAGCGGCACTGCCTTCACTGCGCCTAGGGCCAAGAACCAGCGAGCCTGGCTCTACCGCATCCGTCCTTCGGTCAACCACGAGCCCTTTCGCAGCTACGAACAGAATCGTGTGCTGGGCTCGTTCCATGCCCACTCGCCTGACATCCATGCCACGCCGCAGCAGCTCCGCTGGGATCCGCTCGTGGAGAATGTCGGCGCGGATGTCGACTTTGTAGATGGCATGGTCACGCTCGCCGGTGCTGGCGACACGCAGCTCAAGAACGGCATTGCCATCCACACCTACACTGCCTCCAAGTCGATGGGCCGTCGAAGCTTCTACAATTCCGATGGCGATCTGCTGATCGTGCCGCAGCGCGTGCCGCTGCTCCTCCGCACCGAGTTCGGTCTGCTCCACGTTCCGCCGCTCCACATCGCCGTCGTGCAGCGTGGCATCAAGTTCTCGGTCGACTTTGACCCTGCCGACTCTGTGTCCGCATCCAACCCTGCATTCGGCTACATTTGCGAGACGTTCAAGGGCCACTTTGAGCTTCCCGACCTCGGACCCATTGGTGCCAACGGTCTGGCCAATCCGGAAGATTTCGAGACGCCCACAGCGCTGTACGAAGACGCTTCGGAGGACTGGACGGTGATCAACAAGTTTATGGGTCGATTCTTCTGCTACAACCAGTCGCACTCGCCGTACGACGTGGTGGCCTTCTCGGGCAACTACATCCCCTACCGTTACGATCTGACCAAGTTCAACACGATCGGCTCGATTTCCTACGACCATCCGGACCCGAGCATCTTTACCGTGCTCACTTGTCCCACCGATACGCACGGCACGGCCGTGTGCGATTTCGTCATCTTTCCACCGCGATGGCTTGTGGCCGATGACACCTTCCGCCCGCCCTACTTCCACCGCAACTGCATGTCCGAATTCATGGGCAATATTGTGGGTGTCTACGATGCCAAAGCGACGGGATTCGTGCCTGGTGGAGCGAGCTTGCACAATATGAACTCGGCACATGGTCCCGATGCAGAGACGTTCGAAAAGGCATCCAATGCGCCACTCAAGCCAGCCAAAGTCGGCGAGGGCAGCATGAGCTTTATGTTCGAATCCGCCTATCAGCTGGCCACCACCAAATATGCCATCGAGTAAGTCGTCGTCGCCGTTGCCTCGGCCACTTTGATCCGAGCCCCATTGCTGACGCCCCAAATTCTCATTCTCTGCTTCTGCTTACGATCGACGCCCAACGCTACAGGGAGAGCGGCAAGGTGCAGCAAGATTATTGGAAGGCGTGGGCTGATCTCAAAAAGAACTTCCAAGGATAAGTCGACGACGACCTACAAGCCTGGTTTCGACACTTGCAATTCCAGATCCGATTCAGAATGCAGACGTACAGCGACTGTGCTGACAAGGAGACTGCTTAGGCGGCGTGCACCTCGCGATGGTGGTGCCTAAGCTCGACAAAGTGGCGGGTCTTATCCATGGCCACGTCAGCGGCCTTGCCCACTGCGCCCATCGTCTTCTGCGCAATGCCACCCGACTGAGGAGCGGCGGGGTGAGGTCGAGTGGGCGCCAGCTCACGCGCGCGCAGGAAGTCGTTAACCGCCTTGGCCTGGTCGTTGTCGCTAAGCGCCTCGACCAGGCGCGGCAGCTGCTCCTTTTCTTCTTCCTATCGTGTCGTCAAAACAAAGTGTGTGTGAGTGTCGTATGCAGCGAAGCGGTGTGTGTGAGAAAAGGTACATACGTCGGCGTGGCGGAGGAAGAGCTCGCATGCCTCGACGACGCGCTTGGCATACTCGTCCAGACCGACGGTCGAGATGCCGTGCGAGTCGAGGTTGGCCATGAGCTGCTTGACCTGCTGATGCTCGTTGCGGTCCTGCTCGGCAGTAGAGTGCATACCGTGCTGGTCCATCATCGTGTAGATCGACATTTCCTACCCTCCCGAATCCAGAAGACGACAAGTCAGACGGAAAGCTTCTTGGGTGTCGCTTCAAATGGACGCACCTCGGCATCCGAGTGGACGGCAGCTTCGTGAATGATCGTATTGGCGACTGTATAATGCAAGCAGTCAGTAAGTCAGCAGGCAAAATCCCGAGCTCGTAGTGGGTCTTACTGTCGGTGCAGAGCGCGTCGTTGCGCTTCTGATGGGCATCCTTGAATCGATCAAGCAGGTCGCGCATGTTGTCGTGATCGACCTGCATCCCACCAAGACATCCAGCGTCAGTGCCAGTGCTTGTGCGGCTGCGCGTAGCGACTCACCTTGATTTCGTTGATCAGGTTGAGGTTCGACATGGCGGCGGTGACGATGGTTCGTCGGATTGCAATGCGAAAGCTGTAGGGAGGCAGAGTGGTGCGTGCGAGAGTAAGACGAGTGTTGCGAGTAGCAATACTACGAAGGGCCAAGTCAGATGGTGAGATGGCGATGTGGGAGGGGTCCGGGTTGGAGAGCGACAGTCGAGGTGCGATTATATACAGCAAGGCCTTGGCCCTAGCTGTCTGCTTCAAGGAGCGCCATGGCTAGTCCGGGGCAAGGAAGCAAGAGAACAAAGCTGACAGAACGACGAAAGAGGTCCTGAGGCTGTTGGCCGGTGTCTGGCACGGCGACGTCTTTGGCAACAATGCTCAGCGTAAGAGACGCTCAACCAATCACAGCGCTTGAGTTGGCAATCCGACGGCAGCGCAGTTGATCCGGGAAAGAGAGCCGCGAAGCTGGCAGCATGCGAATGTGGCTAGGCATCCCTCGTGCCCCATGATCGGTGCGAAGTCATCATCGCCTCGTATCGTCAAGCTGCCAGCTCGTCGCTGCTTCTTCGACGGCCGGTGTACTCATGGGCTCGGCGCTGAGTGGCATCGCTGCGGTCGCGTGACTCGGTCAGCCGTTGCTGCGATGGACGCACGCGAGCGTCGTCGAGTGACAAAGGCGTTGCGCACCGTGGCGCTGGACCCTGAGTCACTTTTGTCGTTGCAGCCGCGCGTGCTCAGTCATGCCTCACACATCCGCGATGGAGGCAGGGACGGCGAGTGACGGCGGCGCAATTGCAAGCGCGTGTGAAGCGGGTACAGTTGCATCTGACACGTGCGAGTGCGACAGTCAGCATCGCTCACGAATGAGCAAGAGGCAGCTCAAGCTCGGCCGGACAGTGTTCTGGCCGAGCGTCGAATTCAGGGTCCAACGGTCGAGTTGGTGGCAGTTGGGGCTCCAGCAGGAAGATCTCACACAATCCGCCCCGCACCGTCGATTCGGCAAAACCAAATCACGGACGCCGCCATCCATGCTCCGCAATCCACCTCGTGCCAAGTCCTTCCTTCTCTCACACTCGCACTCACCCGCAGCACCACCAGCCGACTTGGCGCTGCGTCGCTCGTAGGATGTTGTGGTGAGACCAACTTCGATCTCAATGCCATGTTTGACCGCCCTCGCCGGCGCTCTCCAACTCAGCAGCATCGACCTTCCGCTCATCCGGCTCGACATGCCGCGCAAGAAGCCCGACGACTACGAACGTGTGCGTGGCTCCAAGGCCTGTACCTTCTGCTCGCGACGCAAGATCAAGTGCAACGGCCTCGAGCCTTGCTCGGCCTGCGATGCTCGCTCCATCCAGTGCGCCTATCCACGAGCCAAGAAACGAGGGCCTCCGTCCAAACTCGAACGTCAACGCAAGCAGCACCTAGACACCGAGGCCTCGCCCTCCGAGTCGCCATCTTCACCGTCGAGCTCCATCTCTCAACATCATCAGGCTGCCACCGAACAGCCAAGCACGCAAGGCAAACGCGCCCGCTTCGAGCCGTTCGATCGTCACGCCCATGGCGGTGCTTCTCCTCGCTTCAAATCCGCGCTCGAGAGCCTGGCCGACATGGCGCAGATCTCGACAGCACCGTCGCCGCGGCGAGAGCCTTCGACGTTCGCGTTCGACGCCTTTGCTCTGACGGCTTCGCTCGGATCGCAGCCCAGCACCAGCAGCGCATACTCGCCCTTCTCGAGTCATGGTCAGCACGCTTCGATGCCGTCCACAGCCAGGTCCGACCTCGCCCCGCCAGTGTTGGGCGACCGTACCTTTGACGCTGATAGCAGCAGCCTCAGCTTCCAGCCCACCACTGTCTCGTTCGATGTCGACGCAGACGCTCCGTCGCAGATGCAGAGTCCGGTGTACGAGCTCAGCACGCAGGTCGTCGACCAGCTCCTCACCATCTACCAGTACTTTGTCCACCTGCACTGGCCGATCATCTATCTGCCTTCGCTCAGCAGTCTGCGTGTCTTGGCGCAGTCTCATCCGCTGCTTTTCAATGCGGTCCTCGCCGTGGCAGCAGGCACACAAGATAGTTGCGATTCCGCCTCGCAACACACTCATTTTGGCGTCGCCAGTTCGTCGGTGCCGTCTCCCTATGTATGCCCGCCGGGAACAGCCTCGAAGCTGGTGCGATATCTCAAGCAGCACGTCAAGTCGCATCATATGGCGCGAGACATCGAGACTGTGCAAGTGCTCATCTTGCTGGCGCTGGTGGAAATCGGCGGGGGCCAGTCATCGGACGCGCATCTGCACGCGACGATGGCCTGCACCTACGCCATCGATCTGGGTCTGCATCGGCATTCTGCAGCACTGTCATCGGACCAGTCGGCTGGTCGTGCCCAGGAGCGCTCAAGAGTGCTGTGGGGCTGCTACGTTCTGGACAAGACGCTGGCCGCCGCACTCGAACGTCCGATGATGCTGCGAGCCAGCGACATCGAGGTGGAGTTGCCCTCGACGGACGAGAGGGACGAGTACGACATCTTTGTCAACGATCAGTCGCGCCACTTTGTCGCTCCGGACAGGGCGGCGGGTATGGCCGATGTGAAGTGCCGATGCATCTCGTCCTTCCGCGCTTCTTGTGAACTCATGATGATCCTCGAGCGCATCCTTGTCGACATCTACAGCCCCAAAGCTCGACGAGCACGTTCTGATGGACATTGCGAGTCGTACCTGCTCGCAGTTGTCGAGATCGACGGGGTGCTCCGGTCTTGGAGGCAGCATCTGTCGTCGCATTTGCAGTGGTCGTCGGCGGACAGCGGTGGTGCATGTCTGTCGTCTTCGCTCTTCCGAGGCAAACACCGGGTCAGTCAGCCGCAAGGCGAACGCCACGCTCAAGACAACGTCCCGCCCCAGGTGCTCACGATGCGCGCGTGGTACTCGGCGTGCATGCTTCTCCTGCATCGACCGAGGCTCGCGCTCGATCAGAGTGTGAGGACGAAAATCTTCCCATTGCCATCCGACGGCACGGTAACACCAAAGTCGCCGCCTCGAACATCGGCACAAGATGCCTCTTCGGACGACAGCGCAAGAAAAGCCACGACAGGCGCTTCCGCAGACACGTCGGCCAAGAGCAAGCAGAAAGACGTGCTTGCGATCTCGGGCTCGAAGCTCGTGCGAGCCGCTGCGACCGAGATCTGCAACCTGCTGCCCAAGTACCGATCGACATTCAGCGTTCGGCGCATCCCATCCTCGTGGGTCTATCTCATCTTCCAAAGCGCCGTGATCCACTCGAGCTTTCTCGAGCGCGACGAACCCAGTTCAGCTTTCGATGGCGAAGCGCTAGAGGCCCACGAGGATCGAGACGGGGCCGAAACCGCAAGCAAGCGGCGGTCGAACGACAGCAAGCGCCTCTTCCAGCAATGCATTCGGAGTCTGGAGCAAATGTCGCTGACATGGAGAGGCGCGAGCCATCACGTTGCCACTCTGCGACGAGTAGCGCAGTCGTTCCGCATCACGCGGCCCTCGACGCCCACACCTGCGCAGGAGCTGCTCTTCGACCCGCCGAACATGCTTGTCGGTAGCGGTCCCAGCCAGGCTCCGGCAAACGTTGGTCTGGCATCTTTCGACATCTCAGACGCGGTACCCAACCCAACATCGGTCTCAATGCCGGCAACCATGACCCCCACAGAAATGCTGGCTGGGCCTGGGGGTGGGGCACAGACCGGCAATACAGCAGCGACCCTCGACTGGCCGGACTTTTGGAACCAGATGCCCGCGTCGAGCGAGGACGTGTGGGTGTGGCAGCAGTTCATCAACGCCTTTGGCAACGCTGCAGCCTAGAAGCGCCTGTCTTGTCTCGCCTCGTCGGTCACACGAAATGACATGGCAAGCGGCAGAGCGGTTAATCACCCCACACCCCCGGGTTTTGAGCGGCGAATTTCATATCCAGTAGGATGGCCCGCGGTAGAATCGCGGAACGAGTGCGGGGAATTCGGTGTCCTTCTAGGTTGCACCGGGGATTTAGCCGTTAGTGCGACGCACCCCTCGCCAGATCTTGGCATGCCTCGCACAGTGTTCTGCACAGAAAAAGACACATGACTGCATCCAGCATCACTATGCGCAGGACATAATGTCCGATGATTGAAAAAATCTGTGAGATAGAGACTGCACCACGACATCGATGCGACCAGAATAGCGAGGGAGGCGGTGGGAAGGCAGGACGGGCCGTTTAAACCTTGGCAGCGATAGGCAAGGGCTGCTCATCGCTCGCCGGCAAAAGCAAACTGCCGCCAAAAGCCTCTTTGGCTGGCATGAATTTCGATGGAAGGCACGGACTGCGAAATTGCGGAGGGCGGGTCAGCAGGCCAACCAACCCAGTACGGATCAACTCGCCTTGCCGTGTGTCGAGCTTGACTTTGACGCTGCCAGTCTAGGCTTGCGCTTCGGCTGCTTTGCAATCAGGACGTTCTGCGCTGGCCCTCGCCGCCGCCTCACCCGTCCCGGCGCAAGAATGTGCTCCGTGCGATATATAGCGAGCCGGGCCTTTTCAGCGGCCTCCGTCTTGCCTCCTGCAACGTCCCCAAAGCTCCCACAGCTCTCGTAAGAAACACAACGCAACTGGCACACGATGAGGTTCGAGCTTTCATCCGAGAATCTGGCCAACGTGCCTCACGTCGCCTGGCTCGGATTGGCGCTCTTCGTCGCCCACTGCCTCTACTCGCTGACGAAGCGGCCCAAGATCAATCTGCCCGGACCGCGGGGCTGGCCTTACGTCGGCAACCTCTTCCAGCTCGGCGAAGATGCAGCACAGACGTACTACAAGTGGTCGAAACAGTACGGCCCCGTGTACAAGGTCAAGCTGGGCGAGCGCGAGGTGGTGATTGTCAACTCGGCGCAGGCGTCCAAGGAGCTGCTCACCGACCTGGGCAGCATCTACATCAGTCGACCGCTCTTCTACACCTTCCACACGGTCGTCTCTTCCACGGCGGGATACACGATCGGCACGTCGCCGTGGGACGAGTCGTGCAAGCGCAAGCGACGTGCAGCGGCGACGGCGCTCAACCGCGTGGCTGTGCAGAGCTACGTGCCCATCATCGACCGCGAGACGCTCTCGCTGGTTGAGGATTTGTACTCGGCCAAGGGCAAGGCGATCGCGCCGTTTGCCTACTTTCAACGTCTGGCGCTCAACGTCTCGCTCGTAGTGACGTACGGATCGCGTCTGGACAAGGTGGGCGACGAGCTACTCCAGGAGATCGTCGACGTCGAGACGCACGTGGCCAACTTTCGCTCGGTGTCCAACTCGCCTGCCGACTATCTGCCCATCGTACGCTACCTGCCCAACTTTGGACGCAACGGCAAGGCGTTTGCCAGCTCCATCCGTTCGCGCCGCGACGTGTACATGAAGCGACTGCTCGACGACCTTCGCGATCGCGTGCAGGCCGGCACCGACATCCCCTGCATCACCGGCAATATCCTCAAGGACCCCGAAGCCAAGTTGACCGACCTCGAGCTCTCGTCGATCTGCCTCTCCATGGTGTCTGCCGGCCTCGACACGCTCGCCAACACGTTCATCTGGTCCATGGGCTTCCTTGCCAAGCGACCGGACATCCAGGAGAAGGCGTACAACGAGATGTACAAGGTGTACAAGGGCGAGATCCCCAGTTCCGAGGAGGAGACGGTTGAGTACATCACTGCGCTCCACAAGGAATGCTCGCGTTACTTTAGCGTGCTCAAGCTTGCGCTGCCCAAGGCCACCTTGGGCGACTCCAAGTACAAGGGCGTCGACATTCCGTCTGGTACGACGGTCTTCCTGAACGCATGGGCGATTCATCACGACGAGGAGCGCTATGGCGATGTGGAAAACTTCCGACCCGAGCGCTTCCTCGAGGCGGGCGAGGAGAACAAGCAGGCGCACTACTCGTTTGGAGCGGGTCGTCGCATGTGTGCGGGAGTGCATCTGGCCAACCGCGAGCTGTACATTGCCTTTTGCAAGGTGATCCACTTTTTCAAGATCGAACTCTCGCAAGACCCTGCTGAGCAGGAGTACGACATCAACCCAGCCACCGGATGCGCCAACCCCAAGGGCCTCAGCTCGACGCCTAAGCCGTTCAAGGTGCGCTTTGTCCCGCGCGACCCGGCGACGATCGAGCAGTGGATCGAAAACGAAAAGTCGCGCACAGAGTTGCAGATGGCCACCAGCCTCAGCAACAAGTAAAACCCCCTTCCTCCTCACCGGCTTGTGTTCATAGTTGGGAACAGCATCTCTTCACTCGCATGTTGCAAGCGGCCTTGGTGAGAAACGCTTGAAGTTTGCGCTGCTCCAGGCATTCGTAGGCTGATGTCTTGTCCGGTGTAAGAGCTCTGAGTTGCCCTTGGTCTTGGGGGTTTTACCGTGCAATGCGGGGCGCCGCTTCGATATTTTGCCGGCTAAAGAGACCCCGCTTTTGGCCGGCAAATCCAAAAGCGTCAGAGACTATATCTAGCACCTCCATCTCTCTCACTGGAGTTTGGATGCCGACACACTCGCAGCGATGAAGTGCGTCGTCGAATACCCAAAGGACCATCCGTTTCCGATCCAGAATCTGCCCTATGGCAGCTTCTACACCGCCGGCGATGCTTCGAGCCAGCGGTGCGGCGTAGCGATCGGCGACTACATCCTCGACCTCCAGGCGCTCTCGTACACATCGCACTTCTCGCCCACTCTCGACCGGGATGTGTTTGCTGTCCAGCCGAGTCTCAACGCGTTCATGGGCCTGGAGAAGCAAACGTGGCTCGACTTTCGCACGCATCTGCAACAGCTCCTCTCTCAACCCTCGCCGCTGACTCTCGACGCTACTGTGGCAGCTGCGGATGTCGAGGCTGGCATTGCGCAGCGCAAGCACATTGGACGTCGCCTGTTCGTCGACCGGCTTGCGCAAGATACGGTGCTGTGTTTGCCGTGCCGTATCGGCGACTACACCGACTTCTACTCGAGCCTCGAGCACGCCTACAACTGCGGCGTGCTCATCCGCGGCAAGGAGAACGCGCTACAGCCCAACTGGCGTCATCTTCCCGTGGCGTACCACGGCCGAGCCTCGTCGATCGTCCCCTCGGGTACACCCATCCATCGACCCGTGGGACAGATCCTCGACAAGCCGGGCGACACTCAACCCGTCATTGCTCCGTGCAGAAGACTCGATTTCGAGCTCGAGGTCGGATTTGTAAGTGAAGAATCGCCCCCTGTAGACAGCGAGGGAGAGTACTGACGGAGATGCGGTTGGTTGGGCAAAGTTTCTGGGTGGACCGCCTACGAAACTGGGCCAGCGACTGTCGCCGGCCGAGGCGGCGGATCGCGTGTTTGGCGCGGTGCTGCTCAACGACTGGTCGGCGCGCGACATCCAGACGTGGGAATACGTGCCGCTTGGTGAGTCGCAGGACGCTGCATCATAAGATTCGTTCACTGTCTGATGCTGGTTCGTTTCGGTGTGGTTCGCTCGGCAAAGGTCCGTTTCTGAGCAAGGTAAGCACCACCTCGACACCTCTGCATGCGTGAGCCAGTCCTCTAACGAACAGCCTGGAGCATTGCAATGGGTACAGAACTTTGCAACGACCATCTCGCCGTGGATCGTGCCGGTGCACGCACTCGAGCAGTTCACCTGCCCGGGGTACGACCACCAACCTCCGCTGCTGCCCTACCTCCAAGACGGCACCAACACCAACTTTGACATTCCGCTCACGGTAGCCCTTCGCCGTAAGTTGCTGCCACGACCTACTTCCTCCCAGACTCGATCGACTGACAACTCTTGTTCGTGGGGGTGTTTGGAACAGCATGGGAAAGTGACGAGGCTCTAGACTCGGGCTTTGCGGTGATTTCGCACTCGTCGCTGCGCCACACGTACTACACGGTGCGCCAGATGATTGCGCACCATTCGACGACCGGCTGCCCCCTCAACCCAGGCGATTTGTTGGGTACAGGCACGCTCTCGGCGCCTGGCACCGAGGGGTATGGTTCGCTGCTCGAAATGTCGCACATGGGCCGTCGGCCTTTCAGCGTGCAGAGCACGGTGGGGGAGGTGCAGAGGACGTTCCTCAACGACGGCGATACAGTCAAGATGTCCGGCAAGGCCACCGCGAGCAACGGCGAGTATGCGATCGGGTTTGGAGAGTGTGTCGGCACCATCCTCCCCGCCGTTCCGATGTAGAGCAAGAAAGTGCGGATCCATTACGAGTGAAAACAAAGTGCGCAGCTGCGGAAGTAGGAAGATGAAAAGGTGTTGTGAAAGCGAAGGGTTTAGGGGGTGACGATTCCGGAGCAGGTCCTTTTGCCGACGGCAAAGGGGCGGGCGTAGGGCATGAGGTCGGGCTCGCAGTTCTGCTTTGGACCCGCGATGATGGCCGCAGCCGCAGGGGCGAGCAGCGCTGCCGCGGCGACCTTTTGCTCGGGAGTCAGATCATTTGCAGGAAGAGGGTTGCAGTCCGTGATGCCGTAGTCGGCACTACGAGCCTGTCCCGTGGTGGAGCGCAGGGCGGATCGACCGACGACGTAGGAGAACTGCGAGGTGAGCGATCCCGCATGGTCAATCACAAACAGCGGGCCACAAACTGCCTGTGCCTGGACGTTCTTTCCGTTGAAGAGGTACGACGAGTCGAGGGGCGAGTTGGACACCTGGGGCTGAACGATCTCGTCGGTGGCCGAGTAGAGGTTGGTGGTGGGCACGATCTGGGTCAGACCACCTGCGTTTCGGAGTGCGGTGGTGAGTGCCGAACCGGTGGTTTGCTGCCATACGGAGGGTGCACTAACCGCGAGTGCATCGAGGGGGCCGGCGAGGACGGTGCCCTTGTAGTCGGGCGCAAAGGCCATAAGACGATCGACCTTTGACCTGATACTGGGGAAAAACGTCAAACCCCACTGTGCCACCAGCCCACCTTGAGACCACGTAAGCACAGGAAGCTTTCGATTGCCCGAACCGGCGTAGAGTGTGGTGATGGCGTTGACCATGTATTCGGTGTTGACCTGCGTGTCGTTGAGCATGAAAGGTGGGGGTGAGATCCAGCACGGTGTGTAGCCAAGCTGCGTAGAGAGCGGGATCCAGTTCGAGTCGAACGATCCCGGACCCGTGGTGCCTGTTCCGGGCACGAGGAGGATGGGTTTGGTCACGGAGGTAGGAGAGGTGCCTTGGCAGGTTAGGCCGGCGTCGAGGACGGATTTGGGCTGGGAGAAGGCAGGGTCCGAACCGGTGGGTAGACGCTTCACCAAAGGCGTGGCTGCAACGCAGGTTGCGAGCACTCCTACAATACCGGATACCGAGAGTAGCTTCATTGTTGATCGTGTGCGGAGGAGGGTTGACGAGCTGGATGGACTTTCAAGGTGGTTTACTCGGGCAAGTATATATACGCCAAGAGGATGCGTTGGACCACTTGGTTCCAAGGTCACAAGGCATGGTTCGTATGGATCGGCGCTAGACACAATCTCCGCCGAGCCCAAGGCACTGGTTGCCGAAGCAGACGCATTATTGATTCCCCGCCGCCGCACCCGCTCGCCCAAATCTACGCGCAATGCAGCATCGATGCACTACCGACCCTAACCCTTGGCGTTGAAACCGATCCATACGCCGATCATCAAGTCGGTCCCTCATCGACGCGGCAGACGAGAACGCAGGCTCGCGCCAAATCTTTCGATTCATGGCAGTGTTCGGACAGAAGCAAGCCATACTATATTCGGCAAGTGAGATCGCGTTCGGTTGCGAAGATTCCCATCGCCCAGTTTAGCATGGTTTCAGCCCCAACTCCGCCGCCTGATCCGCCTACGATTCCATTGCGGGGCAGCAGCTTTTGACAGCCCCAGATCCGCGCTAGTTTTTCGGACGGGGCAAAAAATGAAAATGGCAAACAAAAGGCCACAGCTTCATAAGTTCATAACGCAGCAACACCCAGTGGTGTGAGAGTAGTTTCGCTTGGGCCTGAACAACTTTGAGACTCTTTGCGGGGTAACCAAAATCAAACAGCCCATCGCCGCCGAGGTACCTCATCTAGCATGCTAAACCCCCTCTTGGCTCCACGTTCCTTCTCCCACCGCACAGTGCAGTGCGCACATGCGTGAAAGCTCACCGCACCCCCGCACATCCACGCAATCTAGAACCACAATGCACCTCCGATCTCGTGCCCATCGATTCATGCATCTATTGCCGTAGCACTAGGGGCAGTCCCCCATCTGGGATCGAACTTTAGTCTACGAAAGTCCATGAGGTCAAGACGGCGGTGCAGGATGGTCGAAGCGCGTGCGTTTGTGTGCGTCGATCCCACCGCCATCTGCTGCTGCCGCTGCGCCAGTGATGGGAGTGGGCTGGACGCTGCGCGGCGACGGAGGCGTGCGCTGTTCGTCCTTGCGTCGTCGCGAGGGCACAGCCGAGGCGGCCGAGCGAGGATCGGCAGGATCGGCAGGGTTGACCGCATCGACGTGCATCGCCGACGACGGGCTGGCCGACGAGCCCGATGTGCTTGCTGCCACCATGCCGCCATTCGGCCGAGTTGGCGCAACGGCTGCTGCGGGCGTAAAGGGGCTGGCGCTGTTGCTGCTCAAGGGCAACGGCGAGCTGTGCTGGCTGTTGGGTGGTGCCATGGCCGATGTTATCGCTATGCTACCACGCAGCCTTGCGCCGTTGGTTTCCGAAACTGACGGGCGGTCGCCGTGGCTGTGCGGCTTTGTCGAGGCGAGCACGGGTGCGTTCGGATCGTCCTCGTCCATGGCCGAAGCACCAGGCGCATCGATGGGCATCGGAACGTCGTCAGGCGGCGGAGCGAGCACGTAGCAGCTGTGCGAACGCACGAGGCTGGCATAGTAGTGCTGGAGCACGGCACCGGAACAGATGAGACGCCAGTCGATGATCTGGAGAAACTCCTTTTCGAGCAGGTTGATCTCCTGCAGGCTGATGCCGCCCACCTTGGCGTAGTGTTCGTTGGTGTTGAAGGCGTCGCACAGCGCCTTGGACGCGCACAGGATGGCGGCACAGATGAAGCGATGCACGGTGAGCCCGCAGATGGTGAATCCCTCGAGCCGCTCACACACGCGGTCGATGTAGACGAGCAGGATGAGCACGCAGCACTTTTCGATCGACGTGTACTTGGCAATGCGGCGCAGGTAGGCTGACAGCGAGATGTTGGGCGTGGCGCGCGAGTGGAAGCGCGTGAGAGCCGAAGGGTGGAGCGGAAGGCCGTCGTTGTGCTCGGTGAGCTTGACGAGCATGTCGACGACGAGCACGAGCACGTCGTCGAGCTGCGCATCGTCAAACAGATACGGCAGCACCTTTGGATTGCTCGCCGATGCTGGTGCTGCTGCGGATGCTGCTATTGTGGATGCTGCTGCTGCTGCTGGTGTTGTTGGTGCTCTTGTCGGTGCTGGCGCTGGAACCGGAGCTGGTGTCGACGGTGGTTGTGACTGTGATTGTGGCGACATTGTGGTGGCGTGTGTGTGGCGTGGCGGTGTGAATCTGGGCGCCGAGAGCGTGTGGATGGCCGAGGTGGAAGCGTGGGATGGCGAAGCGGCGTGTGCCGACGCAGGGGTGAGTGCGGCCGGAGCCACTGCGACCGGCGTGGGAAAGCTGGTATTCAACGACGACGACGACGAGACGTGCTGCTGCGGCGATCCGTGGAAGAAATGGGCGCGAGAGGGCGAAGAGAGTGCAGAGAGCGACTGAGCCATTGCTCAGAGTGCGCCGAGGCAGGGCACCGAGCGGCGATGGGAGCAGCAGCAGCAGCGGCAACAGCAGCAGCGCTCAGTCGGAACCATTCCGTCCATCCGATGTGACGTTTCGAAAAGCCCTTTCGTTTCGAGGCAGCACGCGCTGGACAGAATGGTGCCGACCGAGTTGCGGCGATTCCGATGCTGATAGCCGCTGCAGCGCGTGAGTGGCAACGCGAGTTGCGACAGGGATCGGAGCTGGTCCGAATCGGAATCGAGACCGGAGGCACCGACCGGGTGGTGGGAAAGCAGGATCCAGCAGACAGAGACGACGACGGAGCAGCAGCAGCAGCAGCGACCTGTCGTGACAAGCAGCGTCAACGAAAGCGAGACACGAAGAAACAAAGAAAGAATGGTGCCCAGCGAGCAGATGGAAGCAAGGATGCAAGAAGTGCCAAAATGGCAGACCAGAGTCGACGCCGACGCCCATTTCCGAGCATTCGCGCCTCGCACCTTTACGCGCCCCGGCACCTGCATCCCGCCGGCGTGATTTTCATGCTTCTCACTCAGCTTCGCTTGGGCTCTACATTCCGACTGACAGCGCACGCGATACGACGCCGAAAGCGGCTCAAGAGATGAACAAGGCGAGCATCATGTGCGCTTTACAGTTGACGCAAGCTACGAGCGTCAGGGCGGCTACCGGCGCCGAGGAAGGACGGGTGCGCTCCACTTGGGCGCCGCTGCTGGGTCGCGCGGTTCGGAGGCTGGGAATGTGAACGAGAACGTGGACAGGCTAAAACTTATGCGCTCGCCCTGCCCTCGCCTGCTGACCTGCTCAGCTGCCTGCCTGCCCGCATTCTCGCCCGCGGTCTCACTGTTGCCCTGCCTTTCTCGGAAATACGAGGGCTGGTTATCACCGATCGATTTACGCCTACTCCCGATTATTGCGATTCGGCGTCAGAGTCAGAGTCACTCCGAGCTGCAGCCAGGCTCGACCCTCCACCGTTCAGCTTTGCCACCCCACCTTCAACCCCACCTTCACCAACCCGATCCCCGACCATCGCAGATCGATATGGACCAGAAGGACAACGCCAATCCGATCGTGTACCAGTCGAGCGCGAGCGCCAACCAGCGACGTGCGCCGTCGAGTGCGGATGCCGAATGGTGGCGTGACCACTCGATCCACTCGTCGGCCGCTTCCATCCGCCCACCTTCTGCCAGCACCGGCACTGGCGCCATCGCTTCCAGCTCTTCCAGCGCGGGAACCGCATTTGGATCCGGGCTTGCTTCGTCCTTCTCCCGAGCCACGAGGTCGACCCTCGACGAGGACGATGAGGAGGACGAGGACGAAGAGGACGACCGCCAGGAAGGCGACGTGCATGACAAGGATGGTGATGTGGCCATGAGTGCCACACAGCAGCCATCTGCATCGCTCAAGGGCGACGAGATTGACAGCCAGGAGATCTACGACCTGATTCGGTCGATTACGGATCCGGAGCATCCGCTGACGCTGGAGCAGCTGGCGGTGGTGAATGCGTCGCACATTAGCGTTTCGCAGGGCGACCTTGCACGCAATGCACTGCCGCACGTGCTGCTCGAGTTCACGCCGACGATTCCGCACTGCAGTATGGCAACGCTCATCGGGTTGTCGCTGCGGGTGCGGCTGCTGCGTGCGCTTCCGGAGCGGTTCAAGGTGGACATCCGTGTGCGTCCGGGCACGCACCAGAGCGAGAATGCGGTCAACAAGCAGCTCAACGACAAGGAACGCGTGGCTGCGGCGCTGGAAAACTCGCACCTGTTCAACGTGGTGCAGGGCTGTCTGGCCAGTGCCGGTCGTCGTGGCAAGAGCGCCGATGAACTCGCAGCGTACCTCAACACCCCTCCCTCGGCGGACGGTGCGGTGGATCAGGACCATGTGAATATCTGGAAGACCGTCGACGAGATCACCACGCGCATGGGTATCGCCGTCTAACTCTTTCACAGCTTTTGAAACGAATGCAAATCGAATTACAAATACAACCTAGCGGGAGAGATGGGGGGAGCGCTTAGCGTCGGGAAGGTGTTCGTGCAGCCGAAGGAGGACCTGAGCTGGCATGCATGGTGGCTGATGGTTCCTGCTTGAGCTTCTTCTTCTTCTTCCTGGGCCTAGGTGCTTCTTCGTCGTCGGGCTCGAGCAGCGCGAGGTCGATCTCTGCCACAGGACCTGGTTGGACGGTGAATGCGGCGGTCATCGTCTCTCTATCCAGCGGTACGATCCTCTGCGGGGTGTATTCGGGCTTGAAGAGGATGGACAGGAGTGAATCGCCTTTTTGGGTGCGGGCAGCTTTGGTGCCCTTGCGAGGGGGGCGGACGCGACCGGCGAGATCGTCGACATAGTGCGCATACGTCGGTGGCGGTTTGGTGGGTCGACGTGCCGGCGGTGCCGCTGCAGCCGAAGCCGCAATCTGACCAGGAGAAGCCGCAAGGATCGCGGACGAATCCGTGTGCAGTGCGAATGTCGATGCTCCACCGTTGAGATGCAACGCGGGCGTCGAGATCCGGCCCGTGCCGGATGAAGGATGCGAGGGCGGATTTTGCATGCCCGCAACAGCACTGTTGGAGCCAGTCGCAGGCCGTATGCTGCCCGACGGCGTGGCAGAGGCAGCAGAGGCTACGCCAGGTGCAGGCGACGATGCTGCCCCCGCAGCCGCTCCTGCAGGTATGCGAGTCGACCCTGCGCCCGAACGTGCATTGACGCCTTTCGAGGTGGATGCTTCGGCGGGAGCGTCAGTGGCTGCGGCGGCGGCTGCTTCCGCCTTGATCGTGTCTGGATTGTACGGCCGTACAGCCCGGTCGTAGATGGGCATGAGTCCGAAGAGCTGCAGCATGTCTTGCGTGCCGTTGAGATACGCGCGCGGAAGCGAGGCAGGCTTGTCGGTCGTCGATGGGAAGTATGCGGGCAACCGACGCGGCGCACCGAGCGACGACGTCGACGAGGACGCAGTGGCGTGCTCCTCCATCTTGACGAATGAAGATGTGGTGGTGGTGATCCAAGACGGCCAGTCTCGAGGCATCGCTTTCTCCACACAACTCGGAGAGCGGAGCTGAGTTGGATCGCCCGATTCGCGCACTGGTGCTGGAGGAAATGGCCGATCGATGCAGCGCGGGTCGCGTGTTTGGTTGCTTGCGGCTCTAAATTTGAGTCGATCGTCAGCTCTTCCACCTCCTTCGTCCTCATCCACCATCCTCACCCACGGCCTGCACAAACACACACACACTCAGAGCCATGTTTGGATCCACGCCGGCAGCCGGATCCACCGGCTCTACACTCGGTCGCTCCGCCTCGTTCTCGTTCTCGCAGCAGCCCGCCTCCAAGCCCTTCTCCGGCACCTCGGGTGGCTTTTCGTTTGGCGGCGGCGCAGCGGCCAACAACACGGCCACCACCAGCACTGCCACCACGCAGCCGGCTGCTGCATCGAGCGGATTCAGCTTTGGCGCAAAGCCTGCTGCCCCGGCGGCTGGTGCAGCACCCGCAGCAGGAGGGCTTTTTGGTTCGACCCAACCCCAGCAGCAACCGCAACAACAGCAGCAGCAGCAGCAGACCGGATTCGGCGGTGGACTGTTTGGCTCCAACTCTGCTTCGACTTCTTCCGGAGGGCTGTTTGGTAAGCCTGCTGCGCCTGCTGCTGGTGGATTCTCGTTTGGCAACTCGACCACCAACAATACCGCCTCGACATCCACCGGTGGCCTGTTTGGTTCGACAAACGCACAGCCAGCACAACAACAGCAACAGCAGCAGCAGCAGCCCTCGACATCTCTCTTCTCGTTTGGCGGCTCTGCACAAGCGTCGCAACAACCGCAGCAGCAGCAGGCGCAGCAGGGCGGATTGGGATTTCAAATACAGCCTCAGAATGCAGCTGCGACATCGCCGTTTGCGCGTTTCGGGTACTTTCAGAAGGCGCGCTTCAACGATCTGCCCGACGACGCACGCAAGCTGGTGGAGGAGCTCGAGGCGCACATTTCGGCGCAGACGCAGCTGCGCGACGAGCTCAAAACGAAGAGCTTTGGCGACGAGATTCGCAAGTGCGCCGCCGAGTGGCACGAGCTCGATTCGGCGCTCAAGTCGCTCTCTGCCACGCTGGACACGGACGAGAAGCAATCCCAAGATGTCGGAGAGCTGCTGGAGCGCGATCGCAACACCACCTCGACGCTCTACACCATCATTGTGAATGCCAAGGAGCCGCGCAGCACGGCGCTGTCCGACGGAGCTTCGTTCGTAGACTGGCTCGAGCGGTTCTTTGCCCAGCTGGCGCAAGAGTACCGCGAGAGGATCGTGCGATACTCGAGCACCGTAGAGACGATCCAGCACCATCTGCAGTCGCTCTCGTCGCGGGAGACGTATACGCCCCAGGCTATCTCGGATGCCATCCATGCCCAGCATGAAAGCTTCATGGCGTTGGCGGCGCAGGTGGCTGGGCTGCACGCAGAGGTGGAGGCGCTCAAGAGGGATTATGCAAAGTGGTACAAGCAGGTCAACAATAGCGTGCGCGATCCGTTTGGCAGCATGAACGCCCTCGCCAGCAGCGTTTCCCCTACGTCGTGAAGCTCCACGCAGGTAGTAATGACATGCTTGCCATCGAACTGTACGTGGTTGCATTGCTGCTTGGAAGAGATGTGAATGGTCTGTGACTGTGCAAGGTGAGGAAAGCGAAAAGGTGCCGCCGAAAAAGAAAATGATATTGAGAAAATGGGAGCGGAAAAAGGAGAGCGAAAATCCAAGGGTCTCCGCTTGGACCACCTTTCGTCTTGTCCACCATCTCTCTCTCTCTCTCACTTTGCACGACGGCTGGGTGTGCTGCTGGGCAGCAGGAGCATGCGCAGGGATGCACGACTTTGTCTCGCACGTGCTGCGGCGCTACTTTGAGGCGACGGCGTGGAACGAGTACAACTCGTACCTGCATCTCACCTCGTCCTCTGCCTCCATCCTGGACTTTCCCATCCCGACGGGACTCACGCTGTCGATATCCGCCTCGCCCACACCGCCGTTCTTTACAACGTACCGTCTGGGGGCGTTGCCGAATCTTCGCGCGGGGATCGGCTATATCTATGCGAGCACACATGCGCCGATCAACTTTGGCAAGTCGTCCAAGGATGTCAAGCTCAAAGAGGTGATTGAGCGATTCCGCATCGTCGAGGCTCCGCGGAAGTTGCCACCGCAGACGGATCAAGAGTACTATTGGCTCGCCGGGGAGAGGCATCCCGAACCGTCTACAAGGCCGGATGGGAGCGAGTATTTGGTGTACGGGTGCATGCACGTACCCAGTGCGCGATTGGATGCGCTGTGGACCAAGCGGCTCAGTCCGACGTGGCAGCTGATTCTGACGGCTGTATCGACGCCGCCAAAGTATCCGATCAATGCGCTGCATAGTGCAGCGCTGGCTACGCAGTCGGCATACGCTTCGGGTGCCAAGGCGGGCATGGCGGGTGGTGTGGATCGACTCGATGCATCGGGCACACTCTCAGCATCGACGGTCAGCAGCTCCACGACTACACAGCAACCAGCAGCGGCGAGCGAGTTGGGGCCGGCGGGATCGACGAACCTCCAGCTGACGCTGCAGCGCGACACCGGCCGATGGTTCACCGAGTACAGCTACTCCGTCGACGATGCGCTGTGGGGATTCCGCGTGCTGCACAACTTTGGCCTTAGCGATACCGGGGAACCGCACCCCTCCTCGTCCACCGAGATCGTCACTTCAGGCCAGGGTCGGATTGACTCGACCGCGGGGCAGGGTGAGGGTGATGCGGATGCAGGTGGGGGGTTGAGGGGGAGGTTCAGTGCGGGCGCCGAGGTGTTTGTCAGCACGGTGGAAAAGTCGGCCGGCTTGTCGACGGGGATCAGGTTTTCGACACTGCCAGATTCGCCGGTGATCGCACCGGATGCAGCGCCATCGCAACCACCGACGGTGATTACCGCCACGCTCAATCCGATGATGGGGCATCTGAGTACCGCCTATGCGGCAAGGATGGCGAGGGACGTGGTGGTGTGTTCGCGCTTCGACTTTAATGTCTACAGCTACGAGTCCGAATGGACCGTGGGGGCAGAGTACTGGTTGCGAGCGGCCAAGACCCCCGCACCGGCAATACTTCCACCAGCGGAGAAGGAAGCGGTATCCAAGACGATGTCTCTGCGCGATGCACCCCACCCCACCGACTATCCCCTGCCCCCTTCAACACCTTCTACCGTACCCGGCCTCGTTACCCCAGCTGGAGTACCTTCTTCACTCTCGACGCTGTTGTCGCCGATTACGGGCGTGTTGAAGGCGCGCATCTCGACGGCTTCCGACATCCGCCTCCTCTGGCAAGGCCGTCTATCGCACTGCCTCGTCTCGCTCGGTGTCAAGGCAGACCTCTCGCCCTCGGCTACCCTCAACCTTAACCCTGGTGGCAAGGCGGGCATCGTAAAGAGCGTCGGTGTCGAAGTCATGTATTTCTCCCAAGCCGACGACTAGTTCGCCACTTCAGCCCTCAGCCCCACAGCAAAACACGCGCATCAGTGTCGACGTCATGTATTCCTCGCAAGCCGGCGACGGGCTCAGTCCCACACATCGAGCTGTGCGATTGGACAGTAGTACAGCGCCAACTGCCAGTATCGCTGTTTGACGCCCGCCCATTCCTCGTCGCGGATCGAGGGGGCCATGGTGTGCCACTGCGTCGTAAGCCCAATCTCGCGCAGGTCCAGCTCGGAAATGCGCGTGTAGACGTCGTAGAAGAACTGGTTCGTCGCACCCAATCCATGGACTTGATCAAATACCCAACCTTGTCAGTTTCGACTTGCAGTGTAGAAGAGAAGAGGGAAAGGGGGGACTTACAAAAGGAGAACCTGCTTTGTGGGCCGTTTAGGAGGTTGGGTAGAGCGTCGAAGAAGCGTTTGATGTCTTTGTAGTCCTGGCTGTAGGTGTCCCAGTACACGGCGTCGAAGGAGCCGAGTTGGGCCATTTTGGCGAGATCCTCGTCGGCATCCGAGTCTTTGATCCAGTCCTCCCACCGGCCCTCGAAGAGCTCCACGCCGGGCATGCGGTCGAAGCCGAGCTGCTTGGCATATGCAATTGCATCCGGGTGCGCCTCGATAATCACATGCCGCCCAGGCTTGTACTTCTGCAACAGGGTATCGATGATGCCCAGGCCGAATCCGACGTTGAGAACCGAGAATCCCGAAGGCTGGTTGTCGCACAGCAGCGAAGCGGAGAGCGACATTATATCGGTCTCCCAGGGGGCCATGACCATGTTGTCGTCCTGATCCAGACATCGAACCTGCCCCAGCGGGTCCGGAACAAAGCGCAACCGCGTAGAGAGGTACTTGGCTGTATCATTCGCCACGTCATTCGCAGACGGCTTGAGCGTGATCGTGGTACCGTCTGCACTTGTCACTGCTGTCCCTTCGGTGCGTGCGCGCTTTGCGTCGGGTTCGTCATCCTGATCTTCGCTTTGTGCGCCCAGTGCGCTGAGCAGAAATGTCTGCCTGACGCCTTCCTCGAATATAAGCCGGTAGCAGCGTTCGTGGTTCATGCTCCACGCCACCTGCGCCGCCGTGACACCGTTGGCGTCCACGGCATTCCACAGCGCACCGTGACGCAGCAGCAGCTTGACCACCTCAGCATGGCCTTGTTCGGCAGCGAAATGCAGGGCGGACCAGTTGGCGCTCGACGGGTCCTCGTACCATACGTCCACTCCGCCCGCGTCGTCCGAGTCGCCCGGGGTGGGAGACGAGGAGAGCAGCGATTGGACGAGTGCGAGGTCGCCCGATTCGGCAGCGAGGTGCAGCTCGAGATTGCGGGCGACGCGTGAGGGCGGCAGCAGGTCTGTGATTGTCGCTGCCGCGTCTGTAGCGGAGGAGGAGGAGGAGGTGTCCATGTTGCCTTCAGATGCTGCGGAGGGTGTTGGGGTAGGGCGGGAAGAAGCCAGCACCATGCCAACTTTTTTTGGTGCCGAACCCTTCTAGCGTCCCCTCCGAGATCCGAGTTTTTTTTTCGCGATTCGATCTAACATCATTGAGAAGAACGCGGCGCACCGGCTATCGTAGGCCGGCAAGAGCGGATGTACCGACCGCAGCGTCTGCGCTCCCTTAACCGGGGTGTGGGAAAGTCGCGGCTTGCTTCCGAACCACCTTCTCCATTTTTGTCCGCAAGCACGATGCCGGGACTGCAAGCAGCGACAGTGTCGCACCTCGACGAATCGTCCATTACTTCGCGCAGCGGTGTGTACCGCGGAGAGATCGACACGACGTGGTGCATCGGCTCGGTGCCCAACGGCGGCTACTCGCTCTCGATCATCCTCAATGCGGTGCTGGCCTTTATGCGCACGCCCGAGGTGACTGCGACCAACATCAAGAGCATCGCGCATAATGATCCGCTCCTCCTCTCCGCCACGTATATCCAGGCGGTTACATGGACCCCCTACGAGGTCCGCGTGCAGGTGCTCAAACGCGGCAAGAGTTTAAGCAATCTTCAGGCGGATTTGTACCAGGACGGGGTTTTGAGGATTACGACGCAGGTGCTCGTTACCGACTTTGAAACGCAAAAAACCGCAGCGGATAGGATGAAGTTGGAGGGAGGGGAGCATGATCCTGCGAAGAATGGATATACGATTACGGATAAGAGTCAGTGGGCGCCAGAGTTTCCACTTAGTGCGCCGGAGAAGTGCCATGCGCCAAGGCCGTTTGGGAACAAGGCGGAGAGCGGCAAGACGTTTGCGTTTGGAGAGCTGATCACCGTCTCGGCGGATCCGAAACACATCCACGCCACCAAAACCTCGGACGTCCTCTCTGCCGGAGCGTACTATGCGCTCACCCCGCAACCTCGGCTCTCACTCGATGCCGACAAAGTGGCCAAGGGGCGAGTGGCGGATGGGAAGAATCTGATCCCGTTTTTCGCCGACATGTTCCTGTCCCCACCAATGATGCTTCCCGGCCATCACGATGCTCACTGGTACCCCACGCTCCATTTGACAGTCGAGTTCAAAAGAGCCCTCCCCAAGCAGCCGGTCACGAGGACCGCAACGCTGTCGAAAGGAAGATTCATGATCAATGGCCAGCACGAATCGGATACCGAACTATGGTCCCATCCCGACGATCAACACCTCTTCAACAGCAAACAGGCCACAGAGAGACGCAGCTGGATCCTCGCCGTTGCCAGACAGACCGCCCTGGTGCTCCCGTTCGCAGTTAACCAGAACAAAACCAAGGCCAAACTCTAAGCCCCCCGAGAGAAATAGATGACCGCGCTGGCATTGCAATATCGAAACATGCGAGTAGAGAAGCAAGTTCGAGGGAGAGTGAGGGCTTTTGAACAGCCATGGTGGATGTGATCAATGCTTCAAGTGAGGGAAAAGAGTCAAGGAAGGAATCAGCTGGCGGGAGCACGGCCACGAGCGGCACCACCACGACCAGGCGCACCGCCACGCGCAGCGCCCCTACCTGCGCCCGCACCACCCCTGCCCGCACCGGCACCGGCACTGCCGCCGCGAGCCGCACCTGCAGCGCCCGCGGGCTTCCTGCGCTCCTCGACTGTGACGGTCCACTCCTTGCCCACGGCGAGCGAGCCCTTGGCGGCCGCCTTGCGCGCCGCGTCCACGGTGGCAAAGTCGGCAAACGCACACGAGCGCGCCGCATTGATCGTGAGCTCCTTGAGCGTGCCAAACGCCTCGAGCGCCTGGCGCAGCGCCGACTCGCTCACGTGCTCCGCCACCACGTTCTTGATGTACACCGATGCAGAAGCCGCACCTGCCGACGAAGCGCCGTTCGACGCAGGCTTGGCCGCGGGCTTGGCAGCTGCCGCAGCGGGGGTGGGGGCAGGGCGCGAAGACGAGACGCCCTTGGCCTCGGCGGAGACGTTGGAGCCCCAGCGCGTGGCGTCCGACGCGGCGAGAGTGGCCCACGTCTTGGGCTTGGGCGGGCCAGACGGCGCGGCGGGGGCGGCGGCGGCGGCGGGCGCAGCAGCGGGAGTCTCGGCCTTGGCAGGAGCGGCGGCGGCGGCGGCGGCGGGCGCAGCAGTAAAAGCGCCGGCGGCAGCAGCGTCCTTGACACCCTTGGGCACGGCAGGAGCAGCGTCGGCCTCGACGGCGGTCACCTTCTTGTCGACGCCGACCTCCTCAGCGGTGGCCGGAGTGGGCTCGGCGGCGCTCGAGGTGGCCACGGCCTCGTCGACGGCAGCGGGTGCGGCAGCCTCGTCGGTCTGAGGAGCCGTCTCGATCGCCTTGGACGCGGGCGCGGGCAGGCTGGGGACGGCGTTGGTTGCGGTGATGTTGGTGATCTCGAGCTGGTGCGGCACGACGACGCCATCCTTGTCGGCCTGGTCGATCTCGTCCTGGATGGCCTCATCCACGGCCTCGGCCTCGGCCTCGATCTCATCGTCGTCCTTGAGGTAGCGGAAGATGTCGTTGAGCACATAGTATCCGTTGGGCTGTTCGGCGAGGAAAAAGGTCTGTGCAAACTTGCGCCATCCTGCGCCGTTGTTGCTGAGCTCGCCGAGCACCTGGACGAGGATGCCGCCCGAGGCGGAGCTCTGCGTGTCAACGTTGCTCACGAACACCTTGGCGTCGTTGAAGTTGAGGCTGGTGATCTTGTCGTGGATCTGCTGCTGGCCGAAGCACGGCGACGACTCCTCCTGCTCGGTGCCGTGCACCATGGTGGACTTTTTGGTGAAGAAGCAGTGCAGCCGGCTGGGGTTCTGGTTGAGGAAGGTGTAGTACTGCGTGACGAACAGCCAGCCCACCTCGGACGCCTGCACGGCCGGCTTGGGTGCTTGTGCATTGGCCGACGACGACGAAGAGGTGGCGGCAGCAGCCGCGTTGCTAGTGGTGACGGCCGACATTTTTTGTTGTTGTAGAGAAGCCAGACTGAGTGCCAATGAAGAAAAGAACCTGACAGAAAACAGACGAACGGAAGGGCGCCGAAAGGGAAAGTTGAGATGGTGGTGATGAGCGGGAGGATCGCGCTGCGTTGCGGTGCGGTTGGCGCTGAGCCGAGCCGAGCCTCGACGGACGGCCTCGACGGACGGCCTCGACGGACGGCCGGGGTGGAGGATCCTGGCTCTGTCGCAGAGCAGTCGGGCCGGCCGACCAATTACGACTGCTTTCCTTTGGTCCCTCGCTCCCTTTGCGCATTGGCTGGCTCTCTCTCTCTCTCTCTCATGCTGGCTTTTTCTCTCTTCATTTCATCACGTTGAGCCAGAGCTTGAAGCAATGTGGCTGCAGTCCTTTGTCATCTCGGCGGCTTGGGTTGGAAGGAGCAGCAGAGAGTGGGCATCGGATGGGTGCCGTGGCAACCGGTGCGTCCCAGAGTGAGGCAGCAGCGCAAGGCACCAGGTGATCTTGAGAAATTGGCCGCGCCGCGAATTTGGAAGAAAGCGTCGGAAGCACCGAGCACGCAGCGTGACCAGCTCAAACGACCAACCACTGACCGGCCCAACCACGAATCAACCGAGCAGCCACCCCATCGACCCATCTTGACCAGCAGACGAACACACACCTCTGCTCTATCGTCGCAGCGTTCATGTGGTCCGCTGGCTGGCGTGTGGCTGGCTAGGCTGAACAGAGACGCTGATCGGTGTCGAGTGATGCAGCGAGCGCCACCACCCCGCATCGCAGATTCTTCCGGTTCAGGGCCGTGCGGTGAGAGGAGTGTTGTTCTCGCTCTTTGTAGTCGACGGTCATGAGACTTCGATCGCTTCCAAATCGCCACTACAAACCCTGTAGCTTCTTGTTGAAATCGTTTCTTTTTCGCGGTAGCTTGTGGGGTGCGGTGGATCTCACATGGATCAAGATCGCGCGACTCCACGTTGCTCGGTTGCTGTTTTGGGCGGTGGAGCTGTGCGGGAGGCGTGCCGTCATCGGTTCGTCCGAGCGGATGGTGGGATTGTCTCGCGCCTCGGCATGTCCGATCTGCCAAGGCAAGGCAAGCCATCCAGCCTTGTCGGTGCCATCCGACCGACCGCTTCTAGTTCGAGCTCGGGGTCAGCTGCTGCTGCTGCTGCTGCTACTCGAGTCGGAAGCGGTGAGTAGGCTAGAGCAAGCCACACTGTGTGACTGCCAAGCCGAGCCCAAAATACGAAAATCAAAAGAACAACACTTTGGCGGCTGGCGTGGGCGGGGGCCACCGAGACGAGGCGGGGCGGAAAGGCGTGAGAGGGGCGTGGAAGCGGGAGGTCCGAGTGGAGCAGCGGGCGAGCGAGCGAGAGAGCGTGCGTGCGTGAATGCCCAATTCGACTCGACTCGATTGGAGATGTCCCGGCTCGGCTCTGCTGCCCTCTACGCTCCAACACCACCGTCGCTGCTACGCTCCATCCGCTCCTCGCCATCTGCCATCTGCCATCTGCCATCCGCCGCCGACATCGACAGTCGCAGCCGCAGTCGCAGCCGCAGCACCGCACCGCACACCCCAGTGCCCGTGCCCTGTCGTCCCTTAGAACCCGGATTCCCGATTCCATACCCCGCCGCTGGATACCCGCCGCTCATCATGGAACTTAACGTCGACAGCGCCAAGCAGCTCCTCGCTCAGTCCGAACAGGAGCTGCAACAGGCGCACGCACAGCAGCTCCAGGCGCTCAAAGACGAGCCCATCACCGCGGCTACCAGCGCACCAAACGGTGCCGCGTCTCATGTCGCGCCTGCCCCCGCAGCTCCTGCCCCAGTGGCCCCTGCTGTCGCTCCTGTCGCTCCTGTCGCCGCACCTGCCAGCACCCTCGTCTCGTCGTCGCAGTCTTCCAACGCAGCAGGACGCATGCAGCTCATCGACGAGAACCAAAAGTTCAACAGCGCCCACTTTGGCCCTAGCCTCGACCAATGGGGCCTTGCCGATGCTGGCTTTGGCTACGATCTCTGCGCCGTGCTCGGCTCGCAGTCGACGGGCAAGTCGACGCTGCTCAACAAGCTCTTTGGCACCAATTTCGACGTCATGAGCGAGACCGCCCGCCAGCAGACCACCAAGGGCATCTGGATGTGCAAGGGCCTCAAGATGAATGTGCTCGTCATGGACGTCGAAGGCACCGACGGCCGCGAGCGCGGCGAGGACCAGGACTTTGAGCGCAAGTCGGCGCTCTTCTCCATGGCCTCGGCAGAGGTGCTCATCGTCAACCTCTGGGAACACCAGGTGGGCCTCTACCAGGGCGCCAACATGGGTCTGCTGAAGACCGTTTTCGAGGTCAACCTCGGCCTCTTCCAGGCAAGCAAGGCAAAGACCGCAGGCGCAAAGGACAAGACGCTGCTGCTCTTTGTCATCCGCGACCACATCGGCGTCACCCCGCTCGAGAACCTCTCGGCCACCATCATGGCCGACCTCACCAAGATCTGGCTCTCGCTCGCAAAGCCAGAAGGCCTCGAGGCGTCGCAGATCACGGACTTTTTCGACTTCATGTTCACCACGCTCCCGCACAAGGTGCTCCAGCCCGCCGAATTCGACAAGGCCGTCGATGCGCTGCGCACCCGCTTCGTCGACCCCAAGGACCCCAACTTTGTCTTCAAGACCGAGTACCACAAGCGCATCCCCGCCGACGGCCTGCCGCACTACCTCGAGTCCATCTGGGAGCAGGTCATGACCAACAAGGACCTCGACCTCCCCACCCAGCAGGAGCTCCTCGCCCAGTTCCGCTGCGACGAGATCGCCAACGCTGCATTTGCGCTCTTCGCCACCTCCATCAAGGACTTCCGCAAGCACATCGAAGGCGGCTCCATCCTCGACACGCTCGGCGCCGATATGGCGCTGCATCGCTCCACGGCGCTCGCGAGCTTCGACCGCGACGCGAGCCGATACCACCAGGAGGTGTACAAGCGCAAGCGCGTCGATCTGCTCGAAAAGCTCAACAGCTCGCTCTCGCCGTTCTTCCTGGGCCAGCTCAAGAATCTGCACCGCCACATGCTGCAGAACTTCAAGCGCAGCGTGCTCGACCGCATGCGCACCGAGCCCAACTACGATTTCGGCCTCGTCGTGAGCAGCGAGAAGCGCACCGCGCTCGCCAAGTTCAGTGCGGCGGCCAACGCGGTGCTGCTGGCCGACACCGACTGGGCCGTAGACGAGGAGGTGGCGCAGCTGGATGCCGAGATCCAGGCGATCTCGGACACGATGCGCGTCGAGGAGACCAAGAAGATGGTGGCGCAGATCGAGCGCACGTTCAAGAAGAACATTGGCGAGCCGGTTGAGATGGCGCTCAACGCGCCCGGGCCCGAGATGTGGGATCAGGTGCTGGTGGCGTTCCGTCGCACGCTCGAGCAGGCCGAGGCGACGTACGTGCGCAAGGCCAAGAGCTTCAACTGCACGGAGGAGGAGAATACGGCGGCGCTGGCGGCGCTGCGGCGCAAGAGCTGGCTCAGTCTGCGTGCCAAGGTGGACGAGCAGACGGCGGACAGTGTGCTGGCGGCGCGGCTGCGCGGGTGCTTTGAGGATCGGTTCAGGTACGACGATGCAGGCACGCCGCGCGTGTGGAAGCCCGAAGACGATATGGACGGTGCCTTCCGCAAGGCGCGCGACGAGACGCTGGCGCTCATCCCGCTGTATGCGCGCATCGAGCCCAAGGACCCGGCGGTGGCAGTGCAGCTGGCGTCGACCGAGGACGACGCTGAGCTGCAGGGAGCAGTGGACCGTGGCGAGGAGGAGGAGTTTGACTTTGCACAGACGCTCGTCGTCTTCAGCGAGGCGCGCAAGGCCGAGATCGGCACGCGCTTCCGCAAGGAGGCCGATGCGCTCTATGTCGAGGCGAAGCGGTCCACCGTGTCGAGCATCGCGCAGGTGCCGCTGTGGATGTACGGCGTGCTGGCCGTGCTGGGCTGGAACGAGTTCATGGCGGTGATCTCGAGCCCTGTGTACTTTGCCTTCCTGCTCGTGCTCATCGCGTCGGCGTATGTCGTGTGGCGGCTCAACCTGTCCGGTCCGCTCGCGAGCGTCGTGGGCGCCGTGGGGCGCGAGGTGCACAGGCTGGCGGACGAACAGCTCCGCAGCCACTTTGGCCAGCCCGTGCTTGCGCAGCCCGTGCCCGCGACGACGGCGGCGCAAAGCACAGCCGCAGAAGAGATCGAGCTGCAGGAGAAGTAGCACGTAAAATGACCGCCTGAATGAATTATTATCGTCGCTAGGTTATCGCGGGCCTGTGCGGGGGGTGTGGGCGGGTGAGGTCGGGCAGACGCCGAGACGCGGGCGGGTGCGCACGGAGATCGGATGATGACCTCCACATGCAGCCGGCTGCATTAATGGACAGGTTGGGGCGGGTGTGAAACATGACTGGATCGAGGGTCTTTCACGGAAGTCAATAGCCGGGGCGCTTGCTGTTCATTCATCCTTCCACCACCATCATCGACAGTATCCACAACGGCAACGATGAGGGGAACGATTGTTCGGATGGCTACGGCGGGTAAGCCGCGACTAGTGGTGCTGGGTACAGGATGGGGAGGATATGCGTTTCTCAAGTCGCTTTCGCGCACCACGCTTTCGCAGCTGGACGTCAAGGTGGTTTCGCCCACGACGTCGTTTTCGTTCACGCCGTTGCTTGCGCAGGCGAGCTGTGGGACGCTTGACTTTCGGTCTGCGCTGGAGCCTATCCATTCCACTCGGGGGATTGCGTTTCACCATGCATGGTGTGATGCGCTGGACCTGTGTAGGCAACGCATCGAGGTGACTCCCGCCAGCAAGCCTGAATTTCGACCTGCCGATCCCCTCTCCCCTGCCAACCCTACAAGCCCTGCGAGAGCGCAAGAAGCGGCAAGAACGTATTCGATAGCGTACGATTATTTGGTGGTGGCGGTGGGATCGTACAACGCGACGTATGGAACGGAGGGAGTCAAGGAGAATGCCTTGTTCCTCAAGGACGTCAGTGATGCACGTGCG